ATGTTGGTTATTTTCTAAATTAAAAAAATAGAAAATAATTTGATTAAATTACTGACGGATATGGTAAAGTTTAACTAAATACATAATTAATTGAAAATCGTCGCTAGTATTTATTGGTATATATGCATGAATTACTTATATCTAGTTGATGGCTAACTTGACCACGGTTATGTGCTCTAACACAATAACATGCTAATAAATGTAAAAGATCGTGTTTGAATCTTGTCGGTTATAACATTTCATCGATGGATTACCAATGAATTTTAATTAATTGTAAATTTAGTTAAATTTTATCGTTAATCCATCAGTAATTTAATCAAATTATTTTCTATTTTTTTAATTTGAAAAATTTCCAAGGAATATATTTTATTTTTTATCAAAATAAATTTAATCAGTAATCTTTTTTAAATCTTTTTTATTTTTTTTTAATTTGAAAAATCACATACAAAATAAATTTTATTTTTAATTAAATAAATTTAATCAGTATTCTTTTCTAAATATTTTTTTTAATTTGAAAAATCAATGACATAATATATTTTATTTTTAATTAAAATAAATTTCATCAATAATCTTTTTTAAGTGTGATTTTTTGGTATATTTGTTTTATTTTAATTGTAAGTATTTTTTTGGTTCAAAAAATGTTTAGACACTTAATCGTTCAAAATATGAAAGTCTATTGGTTTTTTCAGACTTTTTCCATTATTTTACCACATTAATCAGTTGTATATGTCACAAGGATGTGTTTAACATGTTTTAAAAAGTTCAAAGAGTTATTTAACATGTTTTAAAATATCCAAACATTTATTTATTGCAAAAAATTGTTCAATAACTTAATCATTCCAAATTGATTTAGATTTTTCAGACTTTTCACCTTTATGTAAACCCTGGCCGGCCATCGCCTCCTAACAAAGAACGCTGCTTTCATCTTCTCGATCAAACACTGCTTTCATCTTCTCCATCGATCGAGCACTGTAGGTCGAATCTTCTCGAATGTTACTGCTTTCATCTTCTCGAATGTTACTGATTTATTATTCATCTTCTTGAATGTTACTGCTTTCATCTTCGAGTGAACTGCTACTGTTTTCAATCTGCTTCGATTTCTGATTCAATGTTACTGCTTTCATCTTCTGATTTAATGTTACCGCTTTCATCTTCTTCATCTTCTAATTTAGTTTCGATTTCTGATTTATTGTTACTGTCTGTTTGATGAATTGTCCATGGTTAAGGAAATTTTGAAATTTCTTATATTGCTGCTTTCGGTTAGTAACATTTCCCACAAGGCCACAACAACTTGATCTCAGACATAAAAATGACCATTTTGAGCTTACAGGATATACTGCTATTTGGCTGTATGTTACGTATTTGCCCAGTTCGTTTTTCAAGTCATCAACCTTCCTGCAAACATAGAATATATTTGAAGCTTAACCACAACTCACAAATCATGGTGTATAATGCAAATAACAGAACCTAAAAATGCAAATAAAAATTCTGAATCAACAGAACCTGAATGAAAATGCAAATCACAAAGAACAAGGTTCTTGTTTTGGTATTTTGGAGTGTGAAACAAAGATGTTTTATGTAGACAGTTTGTCGGATCAAGTCTGTTGTAATTCCAGATCATCAATATATAGATTGTAATTCTAAAGCATGAATGTATAATGGTGAACAGTTGTTATGGGTCCATAGGAGTTCATAACATGTTCTTTTTTTGGGCATTTTTGTTGTCCTGCCATAGGCCACATACAGTGTAGCTTTTTCCCTTCCTAGGTTCCACCAAACTGACTCAGACTCAACCTGCATCTTAAATAGATCAAGTTAAGATTGATTCATTGGTCTCTCAACATTTAACAAAGTTAATTTGCTAGTCAACATTTTTGTTGTGCTGCTTTGTATATATTGGGCTCACTGATTTCTGATTTTTGTATATGATTTGTTCTTGTTCGGATGACTTTTGTTAATAGCTTTTGTTTTTGGGAATAAGAAATGGTCCAACTTAGTTTAGCAACAACACGTAGACGTAGGCTTATTAGACTAATGATCAATTGGTGGTAAAAACAATATTTTTAGTTACGTTTGACCAATAATTCTTCTATATTGCTTGGACAATATTTTTGTTACATATTGCTTGGATGCTATGGTTCAACAACTTTTACCTATGTATAAACATTTGTTGGTAACAATATTTATATATGGATATTTGATGTGTCAACTTGTATGAATGGTTTGTTTATGGTTGTTTGAACTTTTTACACGTTTTATGCTATATGATTCAAAAAATGGTAAATATTTTTTTCCTTATTAAATGTTAATTTTATTCTTATTTGTAATTAAAAAAAAAAACTAATATTTTTTTAAGAAATATCAGAGAAAGGATATATTTGTCTTTTTTTTTTTTTTTTTTAACATTCCATTCTAATTTTATTGCAAATCAAACAGGCAGACGCGGATTAAACCCTCCTCTGTGCGCAATTAACCAACGAACCGATTAATTATGGCGGCGATACCCTCCGCCGGAGTAGAAGCACTGCACCGCCTGAAACTGACGGAGCCACCGATGTACCTAACTCCATCGTCGGAACTTGCTACTGCCGCTCGTATTGCTTCGGAGCACTTGTTCGCTTCACTCAAACCCTACACTCCTAAATCACCATTCGACCGCCTCCTTGTAGACGAGAAGTTCGACGCCGAGCAGATTTGGCAGCAAATTGATCTTCAATCTCAGCCGTTGATATCCGCCATCCGCCGTCAAGTAAACAAGTTTGAGAAGGATTCACAAGAGCTTAAAGATATTTTTAAGAGTGGTGAGTCTGATAAAGAGCAGAAGAGGGAGTTGGTTTTAGAGGAGAAAGAAGAAGAAGAAGACGACGACGAAGAGGATGAGGATGAGGATGATGAACTCGATGACGAAAGCAACGAAGAAGAGGATGAGGATGAGATTGAAGAAGATGAAAGCAGAGACGGAGAGAGAGAACGTAAAGAGAGAGGCGGAGTTGGTGTTGAAGATAAGTTTTTAAATATACAGGAGATGAAGGAGTTCATGGAAGATGATGAAGCTAGAGAATACGGAGTTAACAAAAAGAAACAAGTGGTGAAGAAAATGTCTAGAAAGTTTGGGGAAGACGATGAAGAAGAAGACGATGATGAAGACGACGACGATGAGGTGAGCACATTTCTAAGAAGAATGATAGGCTTTAGAAATAATCTACTTCTCAACTTAAATTTCTAAATTTGTTAATCTATTATATGATTTAGTTGCTTTTCTGGCTGGTTTTCCTCTGAAGAATTTTCTGTCTAATTACCCCCCTTTTTTATTGTAGCTTGGAGTTCTTGAACTTGCAGGGGAAGAAGACATGTCAGATGCTGAAGATGCTAGGTGATGCTTTCATTACTCTTTTATGTATTGTGACTAGATTATGTGATCTGAGTAAGATATACGGATGCATGTGTGTGCGTAAGCATTGCACGGAGGGAACCATTTGTTTCAGTTGCTCTGTTTTGGGTGTTGTATAATGAACAAGATTTTGCATTTGAAGTTCTGAAGGATGGGATTGCAGAAAAACGAACAATATTTCATCATCCTATTCACTCCAGTTGATTTAAGTATTCCCAGTTGGGCCTGGCTTCATCTGCTAATAGTTGTTATCTCTGGGCTTTGTGGCTCAAGCTTGTACCTGCTGTTTCGTTTTTTTAAACCAGTGGAAAATGTGTTTTTACCTTTGGCAGATACGAGGACTTCTTTACGTCTACAAAGAAACGTGACCAGAGTAAGAAACCTAAAGTGAGCGAGAAAGTGGAAGATATAGACATAAGCGATGAAGAAGAAACTGAGGATTCAGACACAGGTGATGAAGATGATGATGGCATGGGATCCGATGATGAGGTAGTAACTACATGTTCATAAGATATGTCAAAATGCTGCTAGATACTGGAATGAAATTGCTCTTGAAGTGCTGTTACTGGCAATTGAGTAATGTATTTTTCTTTTGAACACTTCTAGATGAAGATAGATAATCTTTCTACTCATGAGAAGCAACTTCTAGAACAGCGTGCCAAAATAGAGGAAGTGGAGAGGGAAAACTTGGAAGCAAAATCGTGGACCATGCAGGGAGAGGTGCAAATTCTGGTTTATTAGTTGTGAAGAGTTGTGACATGTAGTAGTTCTATATCAACTTGTTTATTTGGATCTATGGTGGCAGGTAAACGCTACTAAAAGACCTAAGAATAGTGCCTTAGAAGTTGATTTGGATTGGGAGCGCAATGCAAAGCCACCGCCAGTAATCACGGAGGAGGTTTCCCAGTCCATTGAAGAGCTAATCATGAAGCGGATATCCGAGGTGAAGTTGACTCTCTGATTTCTTTTTTCATTTTCTTTCTGTCCTGGCATTTAACTGTTAGAAGCTTAGGTGCTGTTTTTTTTTTTTCACATTAAGCCCGGAATGTATTAACGCATTAAGCTTCTGGATGGATTTTGATGTATTGTTGTTTGTTCTTTGTCCTGAATAGACGGTCTGAATGGCAAAAGTGATTATCTTACCCATCAGTCTAGATCATTTCCAAATGACTTGCAAGTCATCTTTCTTGCCAATAAACCGCATTGTAGACACAGGAAGATCTAATATATATTTCATAAAATTTCTGAACATAATTCCACTCTTGAGAGCCTTAAGAGAAAACACTTGTTGACTGCATCCAATAAGGACTTATGTGCATCTTATGTAGATGCAAGTGCCGGAGGATTACCAAGTATCTATTTCTGCTCTAAACAGTGTGAACACCATATAGCTCCATACAATATAGCTCCAAAAGAACACAGGTGCGTTGCCGGTTTAAGAGCTAGAGGACTCTATGGTTTCTTGATCTCATGGAATTTGTGGAAGGCACCTATCCCTAAAGCTGCATAGACACAAAAGGTGAAAGAAAAGAATAGAGTAGAGATTATGTTACATTAAAGGTCCTGATGCATAAATGCTTCTTCACTTGTTCATTACGCTACGTTTGGCTATTGAAAATCTAAAAGAAGAGAGACATGCATTATTCAACTTGTAAGCAAAACAAGAAGTTGCATAAAAGAAATTTACCAGTTTATGTTGTCCGTTACCTGTTTATGCTGACTGCATAACCCTGCTGGAAAAGCTAAAGTACACAACCGGAATAGCTAACAGAGAGCAAGGGGGTGTAGAGGAAGGGAAGAGTGGATAGAAGGGGGCAGCAAGAAAGAGATAGTCGAACAAAAAGAAGAGGGCGATCGATTTTAAGAGGAGTGGATTTTAGGGAAGGTTGATGGAAGGCCACCTATTTGAGAGAGGGTTAGGAGAAGTCTTTTTCTTGTCTTAAGCCTTAATAGATAGATGGCTTAACAATTAATCATCATGCTTAATCAGTAAGTTGCAAACAAACATACTGATATGCTTAGCGAATAAATCTTCCAGACCATTAAGCTATGGTGTTAAAATCGGTGCAATAGTTGCTCAGTAGCGGTTTGTGGCCCCGGAAGAAATCGCGGTTGCAAAATAACGGTCATAATAGCGACGCCAAGAATTTCGGTGCAATTTACCAATAAATCACTGCTTTTTAACAAAAATAGCTATCTGCAATACCGCCATTTGCGGCTGGGCTTTTTTTGGGTAACCAGCTTAGTAGCTTACATTACACTTGTTTGGGCTTTTATTTAAATGATGTGGGCCTTTATTTTAGATTTGGATTTGTTCTATTTTAATGATTTGGTCCTTTATTTTAGATTTGGATTTGTTTTATAAGATTAAATTTTAGGTTTTCAACGTCGTCGTCCTCCACGAGACCACGACTTTGACTTGAACTCGATACTTTCAGGCCCAGCTTCCTCCTCGACAGCCTCCTCATAAAATTGAACGCATTAGATGATGTTAACTCGATGATCGATACTCCCTGTTTAAGTTATGTATGCGTACATATATATTATATATATAATTCTAATAACTATTATATGAACCATTTTTTTTTGGACCGCTGTACCACTGCGATAACCGCTATTTCAAATCACAATACTGACTGCTATTAACCACAAGGGTGGTGCCTGATTGGTTTGAGCTTGGCTCCAAAGGTCAAAAGTACCAGGAGGTCCCAGTTTCAAATCCAAGGAGGAATAAAATCCCCTTGTGGCCACGGAGGTTCAAATGTGGGGACTCCGGGCTATCTGCAAAGCAGGTGGTCGTCCTGGGATTAGTCGGCTCGCATAGCGGGTTGGATATCCAGGTTAATCTTTAAAAAAAAAAATTGACCGCTATAACAACATAACCATTAAGCTGCAAAGAAACAACCCCTTAATTCTACAAGCAAATGTGTCACTGTGTCAGTAGTCTAGCTTGCTGCATAAAAAGCATGCCTTCTAGTGCATCCCCAGACATATATGCACTTGATTAGATGTGGTAGGCTCACCGCTCATAGCTAATATACTTTATTTGTAACCCACCATCCCATTATATAAATTATAAGATCCCACTACTTGATAGAGTTATGTTTCAACATTTTCTCATATTTGTTATGGTAAACTGAATGTATGTGTGCTCTTTCTTTCTCTTTCTAATAAGCAACATTGTGATGTATTGTTGTCAGGGACACTTTGATGATGTTCAGAAGGCTCCTAGTTTACCTTCTAAAGCACCAAGAGAAATGAAGGAACTGGTAAAGCATTTAAGCATCACATGGCAGTATCTAATATCTGCTCCTTCGCTCTTCTCAATAGATGGTTTTATATATGTTTCTGGGGGAATAAATGTTGCAATGTTAACTTTGCAGGACGAGAATCAGAGTAAGAAGGGCCTTGGTGAAATATATGCGGTTAGTATCTCCTGCTTGATTTATTTGATGCAAGAATCCCTGGCTGCTTTGTTTAGCATATCTGTCCCAATTTCTAACGGTATCACAGAAAGAAAATTATAACTTTACCATTTTTGTCGAATCAAGCACCTTGCGCAACTACTTGCATTGGGAGCCGATTTGTTCTCTAAAACTGAAGTCTCAGCCACTAGTTTGTTTATATTCCTTGGCAGAAATTTTCGTTTGTTTTCTAGAGCTGTCACAGTCAGTTTATATTGATAATCACTAAATATGTGATATAATAGCACAGGAAATTGCTCTATAAGTAAAAGAGCGATAGTAGATTACAGTTTGAACACAATGAGACATACATCTTCAGATTAAGTACGCATTATATGTGATGTGTCTTAAGATAATTTCTTAGGAGGGCGGTTCTTCCCAATTTAAATGTCGTATAGGTTGTTAACTTACTTTTTATCCTTCTGCAGGATGAGTATGCTCAGAAGACTGGCCTGGTTTCACAAGCATTGTCTTTCTCAGATGAGCAAAAAAAGGAGGTACACTGTGGATTTACTTGGATAGTCGCTATTTCTTAGCTCACATTAGTAGTTCTCTAATCATTTGGGGTTGCAAATATTGTTTTATGTTACATTATAATGTCGTTTCTTACAGATATTTCACTTGATGTTGTTAGGCAAGTCTTCTTTTCAAGAAATTGTGCTTGAAGTTGGATGCTCTATCGCATTTCCACTTCACTCCAAAACCAGTATGCATCCATACTTGTCTTTGTTTTGACCAACATGTTTGATACTTCTTTGACCACCTCAACCTTGTATTTTTTATTAATTCGAATGAATTAACTTGTACAGGTGATTGAAGACATGTCTATTCAAACAAATGTACCTGCTTTAGCAATGGAAGAGGTATCAACTCTTCTAGAACCATCTCATTTATTCATAATGCTGCATCAACTGTGGTACTGGCCATTAGTGGTTTTGTTGGCTAAATATTTTATCTTTTTTTTGTTTTTTCGTGGATGTAGATTGCACCTTTGGCTGTCTCGGATGCCGCCATGCTGGCTCCTGAGGAAGTATTTTCTGGCAAAGGAGATATCAAAGAAGAAGCAGAACTAACACAGGAAGATAGAAAGAGGAGGAGAGCTCACAAGAAAAGGAAATTTAAAGGTAATCCTGGTTGTCATCAGTTCCGTTCATTGTTGGTGTTGGTTTGATTAATGCGGACGGTTTAGTTACCCTAGGCCCAAGAATGCCATTTTCAGTTATAAAATCCTCCCTTAACATGTTTGACTTGATACGTAGTTTAACTAAAAATGTTAATTGTCAAATATCTAAAATACATCTTCTGAACTTAGATTAATACCAACAACTTATTTGTAAACAAAAGGTAAATTTAGAATCCTTTTGAAAAAGGAAAGGTTAGCATTTTCCCAAAAGTGAGGTGTTGCAATGTTMATAGRGCRTGTATAACCAAACCAAACCAACAAGCCAGTATATCCCACCTGGAGGTGTGGTGTGTGCCTGACCTCTACCCTAAGAAGTTAGAGCGGTTGTTTCCTTGAAGACCCCCGTCCAGTGAAAAGTTTGAGAAATGGAGAACATATACACTAGGCTAAAGGCCTGTTTACCCAAATGCTTACCCACACTATAATTTATTTTGATGCGTAAGATTTTAGTACATCAAAACATATCGAATGCAACAATTTACCAGGTAAACACTTACCTGGGTAAGAGTCGTCATCTTCACTTACCTGGGTAAGAGTCGTCATCTTCACTTACCGGGTAAGACTCCATCTTTCTCATCGCTCTTACCCGGTAAGATTCTTGGCCCTTGTCATGTTCATCCAATGAGGAAATTTATCCGGGAAGCACTTACCAAGTAAGCATTTAGTAAACAACCCCTAACTTAGTTGTTGCAATTTTCATAGGACGTATAACCTTACTTAAAACATAGGTGGTAGACACCTTAAGACACTTGGTTATTACAGTGATTTGCTGATTCTATGGGTTGTTAATGAACTTTTGAGATGGTCTGTGTGCTGAATCCTTCCAAGGCCAGAAACGTTGCCTTGCTTGATTCGTTTATTTTCTCTGAATCTTAACGACAGCTGAGAATGCAAAGACGATAGCAAAGAAGCCAAGGGAAAGAACGGAGACAGCCGCTGATGGTGATATTATCATTCTATAATCTGCAACTTTTTGCCGTTTACATAATCGTATAGCCTCATATATTTTTGTTCCTATTGCAACAGGCAAGGAAGAATCATGACTTAATATCAAAAACTCGTTTGCCGTTTGATTGATATTTTCGGGAGAATATTTCTGGTGGTTTTTGATTCCACACTGATGAAGGAAAGAGAGAACTCTCGGAATCGAAATTGTTGGCCGAACAGTCGATGGTCGTGAATTACGGGTCATCCATTTGGGAAGTTTTGTTCTAAACATACTATAGAGGTGAAGACAAGTATATTATCTGGGTAGAAAGAGTGGCATTTCCATGTCAGATTGAGTTTTTTCCATATTTGTTTTCCGACCTAAGAGGGACAAGATGCCATTTTGAATTTCTAAAAACAATCATTTTCTTGTAACAGGTTAACAAAGAAAAACATGTTCAAAAGGTAACATGTTATCCAATACTATAATGGGTAATTTTTGAAAGTATAATGTCCTAGTAAAAAATATTTTGAAAGTACATTGTTGTAATAAGAAAACTGAAAATGGAATGTTATAATAAGGAAATTTGTAAAAGTATATTGTTAATTTATATATTTTACCCATAAAATAATTATTTGATAAATATGGTGAATGATAATGGAATTTAACAATATGTATCAAATCAAGAGGATTTCACAAACGTGTAAATGTGGAACAAAGATAACAAAATTGTTCAATAACAAACAAACAACCACTTGGGACCATTTACCAACAAAAATCATCAAATCAAGAGTCCAAAAACGATCAACAAGTAAAATTGTTACTAAAGACTATCACCGGACCCTTACATGGGGAAGTGGCAATGAATACTTAGATGGTGTTTGGTTTGCAGAATGTTTTTGGATTAATAGAATCTGTTGAAGAAATTTGAATGAAATGTTGTCGGGTTTGACTTTGTGTTTGGTTGGATATTGGAATGAAATCTGTTAAAGAATTGGAATCTGTCTGTTTGGTTCACATAATGTAGCTTTGAAATTAGAATGAAATATTGGTAAATCACTAAAATGTCTTTTTTTAATTTTTTTTAAAACTAAAAATACTCTAATAAAACAACTATTTAATATGTAAAACGATATAAAATACACATCCCAAATATAACCATAAATCAAACGACGTTACTAAATCAACGATGGTCAGCGGTGGTTCAGATCGGTGGTGGTTTAGATCAGTAGTGGTCCGCAGTGGTTCAGATGGCGGCGGTCGACAGTGGTTCAGATCGATGGTAGTCCGCGGTGGTTCAGATGGACGGTGGTTCAAATCGGCGGTGGCCGGCGGTCGTTAGATCGGTGGTGGTGCGTAATGGTCCAAATGGCGGTGGTCGGGCAGTGGTTTTCAGATCGACAGTGGTTCAGATGGCGGTGGTCTTCATATCGACAGTGGTTCATATAGGCGATGGTTCAGATCAGGGGTGGTTCAGATTGGCGATGATGGCGGTGGTTCAGATCAATGGTTGTTCTAATTGTTGGTGGTTAGCGATGGCCGGCAGTAATTCAGATCGGTGGTAGTCGTCAGTGGTTCAGATCGATGATGGTCTAAGGTGGTTCAAATGGTTGTGGTCAGATGTGGTTCAGAACGGTGGTGGTTCAAAATGGGGGGAGGTTCAGATCGGCCATGGATCAGATCGGTGTTGGTCGGTGGTAGTTCAAAATAGGGGGTGGTTCAGATCGGCCATGGATCAGATCGGTGTTGGTCGGTGGTAGTTCAGATCGGCTGTAGCCGACGGTGATTTAGATCGGTAGTAGTCGGCGGTGATTCAGATCGGTGGTGGTCCAAATGGCGATGGCGATGGTCGACAGTGGTTCAGATCAGTGGTGGTCCACGGTGGACCAAATCGATGGTGGTTCAGATCGGCGGTGGCCGACAGTGGTTCAGATCGGTATAGGTCGCGATGGTTCAGATCGGTGGTGGTCGGCAGTGGTTTAGATCAGTGGTTGTCACTAATGGTCGGCGGTGGTTCAAATGGTGAAGGTCGACGGTGGTTCAGATCGACGATGGTCGGAGGTGGTCGACGATGGTCATATTTGGTTTTATGATATTAGCGTATATTAAATTAAGGGTATATTTGCTATTATGAAAATGGAGAATTCAATTTCATTCCATCTAAATATCATGTAGTTGATAAGAAATGTTAAATTTCTTTACTTTTGAAATTTGTAAGTTTTTGAAGATTACTTTCGTGAACAAACGAAGGAATGAAATTTGGTCAATGAAATTCAACATTCCAATTCCATCAGATTCTAAAAGAATCTGCGAACCAAACACCCTCTTGGGGGTGTTTACCAAACACTTAATCGGGTAAGTGCGTACCTATAGAATTCAACACTATTACTTACTTACCACATAGATATTAGTCGACAAAAACAGTATTGTATGAAACAATTTACCCGATAAGCGCTAACCATGGTAAGAGACAAGGACTCTCACTTACCGGGTAAGACTCTCAGTCCTTGCCTACGCTCTTACTGCGTAAGATTCTTGATCCTTGCCATATACATCCGATTAGGTAATGTAACTTGATAAGCACTTACCCAGATAGATAAATGTTTGGTAAACGGCCCCTTAATAAATTAGTTCTGATTGTGAGTGATTCAACTCCATATCCATATATCCTATCACTGAGACCACAAGAGAATAAGAAACTTAACCAAAAGCATGCATTATGTTCCAAATAGAAATGAAAACTAGTCCTGTTTTCTTGTTCCTAAATCCATATGATGAGTCTAGAGCTGAGCAGAGTTGTTGGCAAATGGCAATGGCACCTGCTTCTGTCATCATCAGCACCAACTTCCCTGCTTGATTCTTCTCCATAACAGCTGTACATCAAACAAGTTATGTTACTCCTATATATATATATATATATATATATATATATATATATATATATATATCATGTCACACTCTCCTATGTTTTTCAAGTTTACTCAACGAAGTTTGAAGAGTCAAATATTTCTAGTTTTGACGACCGTTTTACGCAGCTGAGGGAAAACTTGCACAACTCACTCAATTTTCATCCAAAATTGTTGAATCAGAACTTGTTAATAAGCTAAGAGGCTGGAGTTCAATGTGCATGTTTTATGTTTTCTCTAAATCAGGCTCTTTAATGGTCAAAAACAGCAATGAAATTGAGTCATGAAAGTTGGACAAAAAGTACAAATTGTCTCGATTTTTCAAGAATATGAGCTTATATTTGAGGGAGAGCTTGTTTAAAGACTTGAAGAGTGGCACATAAGAGCTTCTACATAAAGCAAGGGGTAGTTTATATGATGATTTTAAAAAACAAGGGGGAGATTGTTAGATAAAATTAGCCCCTAATTTTATAATACAGACCTTGCATACGTTAAACTTCCCACTAACCTTGCATATAGTATTTTCTCCATGTCTTTTCTTTCTAAATTATTATGTGGCCACTTTCCGTTGTGTAACGTATCTCCTTTTGAAATTGAACACTCACCGCTTCTACAATTTTCCATATCAAATCTACGGGTAAGGGGGGATCAGACCGACTCACCAGAAATGCCTTCATGCAGAGCTCTATATAGGCGATCCAGAGGCTCTGCATGGTGCTCCGTGCGATCAAAACCTCAAAGACTAGAGCTCACGAACCAAAGCTCACGGACCAGAGCTCGAGAAGATCAGACTTCACGATGGACAAGATATGGAACAGAGGTGGACCATAGGATAAAAATAAGAGGTCGATGATCCATAGCTCGTAATGAACCAGAGCCTGTTGCCCGATTTTTTTTCGGTTTTCTGACAGCATTGCGCTGTTTCAGAAACACGTGCACTACCTTTTACTCGAAGCTCCAAATTACATGAGTCCAGTTTCATTGGAACACTAAAACATAGATGCACGACTTTGAAGTTTTGAGGTTTCTCAAATTCCATGAGCGGATATGCCTAATTCACTGTCAAAGTCTGCAGAACGGTGCTGGACCGAAAGCATTGCTTTTCACTCGTGCTCCTTCCGATTTCTGAATGGTGTTTGCTTGTCCGTTCTTCATGGATTCAAGATACATTTGTGACTTATTTCATGTCACTCTCTCCTATGTTTTTCCAGTATACAGTTCGGAGCTGAACGTTTACTCAACGAGGTTTGAAGAGTCAAATATTTCTAGTTTTGACGACCGTTTTGCGCAGCTGAGGAAAAACTTACACAAACTCACTCAATTTTCATCCAAAATGGTTGAATCAGAGCTTGTTAATAATCTAAGAGGCTTGAGTTCAATGTGCATGTTTTATGTTTTCTCTCAATGAGGCTCCTTAATGGTCAAAAACAATAATGAAACTGAGTCATGAAAGCTGGACAAAAAGTGCAAATTGTCTCGGTTTTTCAAGAATATGAGCCTACATTTGAGGAGGAGCTTGTAACGCCTTGAAGACTTGAAGAGTGCCACATAAGAACTTCTAATAAAGCAAGGGATAGTTTGTATGATGATTCCTTTAAAAAAACAGGGGGGAGATTGTTAGATAAAATTAGCCCCTAATTTTATAATACAGACTTGTGCATACCTTAAACTTCCCACTAACCTTGCATATGATATTTTCTCCATGCCTTTTATTTCTAAATTATTATGTAGGCACTGTCCGTTGTGTAACTTATCTTCTTTTGAAATTGAAGACTCACCACTTCTACAATTTTCCATACCAAATCTACGGGTAAGGGGGGATCATAGGCGAACCAGAGCAACCAAGACGGACCATAAATGCCTTCATGCAGAGATCTGTATAGACAAGCCAAAGGATCTGCATGTACAATGCAGAGGCTCTACATGGTGCTCAGTGCGATCAAAACCTCAAAGACCAGAGTTCGCGAAGATCAGACTTCACAATGGACAAGAGATGGAAGAGAGGTGGACCAGAGGATCAAAATAAGAGGTCGATGGTTCATACCTCGTAATGAACCAGAGCCCGTTGCCCGATTTTTTTTCGGTTTTCTGACAGCATTGTGCTGTTTCAGAAACACACGCACAAACTTTTACTTGAAGCTCCAAATTACATGAGTCCAGTTTCATTGGAACACTAAAACACAGATGCACGACTTTGAAGTTTTGAGTTTTCTCAAATTCTGTGAGCGGATATGCCTAATTCATTGTCAATGTCTGCATAACGGTGATGGACCGAAATGTAACACCGTGGTTATAACACGTCCAATTAACCCATAATCACCAAAACATTAATTTTAAACCTCTAAAATATACGGGATACAAACCTTTTTTTTTAACATGGATATCCAACCCGCTATGCAAGGTGACTAATTCTAGGGCAACCACCTGCTTTGCAGATAGCCCGGAGTCACCGCATTTGAACCTCCGTGGCCATAAGAGGATTTTTATTCCTCCTTGCATTTGAACTTGGGACCTGATTTGAACTTGGGACCTCCTCATACTTTTGACCTTTGGAGTCAACCTCAAACCACGTGGT